TTTATTATTAAATAATTTTTGTACTGAATTAAAAGTATAATTTTTAAATATATTCACATTATCATTTTCATTCAATATTCTATATGATAAATATGAAAAATTTTATAAATAAATAATAATAATAATATTATTATTATTATTATTATTAAGATAAATACTTCAGAATTGAATACAAGTTATTTATTCATGTATTCTATTTATTATAACTTCTGCTTGAAGCTTTTGGGTAATAAGATAAAAAAAGAATATTTACAAATGTGTTACTCTACTAATAATCTCTTATAGTAATTATAATACTCTTTCAGTTCTTTGCTATTATATTACTCTAGTAATAATATAACTTCAGATGCATAACAACTAAATAATTATTTGTAAAATAAATAAATATCTTATCACACTCTATAATAGTCAATCTTTATCCCTCTTAATGCTTTTAAAGCTAAGATCTCAAACTTATTTTCTTTAGCAACAAATAAGATAATTATAATTAAAGTTCTGAAAAAAAATCTGGTTTAGTTCAAGTTTAATTTAGTTCAAGCTTGAACTGAACTCGAATCTAATTAAAAATCTAGTTCAAAAATTTGAATTTAATTAAAAATCTAATTCAAATTTTGAACCAGACTCAAATCTAATCATTATTAATTATCCACTATTATTATTTATAACTCTTATTAAAATTTGTTATGAATACAATATAACAATATTAATTTGTAATTCTAATTATAATTTATAATTTTACTTAAATTCAAATTGGATTTTTGATCAAGTTCAAATCAAATTCAAATTAATTTGATTTGATTCAAATTTTGAACTGAACTTAAATCAAATTTGAATTTGATTCAAGTTCAAATTAAATTGGCAATTAATTACTAATATTTTTGATAATTATTAAAAAATTAACAAATATTATATTATTATAAAGCTAATCTTTTTTTCTTTTTCTAAATGAGATTTTTATTATATTTAATTTGTTAATTATTTTTATTTTTAATTACATAGAAAATAAAATTTTTGAGATTTACTCTTTTCTTTTCAGTTTTCTTATCAATTATAATTAAACTTAATAATTTTATTAAATATTAACAACAATAATAATTATTATTTATTATAATTATAATTATTATCAAACATATTAATAATTAATTATTAATAAGTATAATTAATAATTAATTACTAACTAATATAAAAATTTTCTAATAATAAATTATCTACTAATTTTATTTTTACGTATATAATTTTGATTTTAATTAATAAATATTTTTAGATTTTTTTTAAAAATAAAAAAAATTATTAAGTTAAAAAATTCAAAGATTAATAGACAAATTTATTATAATTTAAAAAGTAATTTCAAATATATTTTGTTTAAATAAATTTTATTTCTTCTTTTTAATATTATTCATTATATTTTTGAAAGAATTAATTTATTATAATAAGTTCAATTATTATAATAATTTTTTCTAAAAATTAAAAAATATTAAACTTTATAAAAATAAATTAAAATTACAAAATTCAAATTTCAAACATATATATTAATTATCAACTTCCATAATTAATATATTATTGTTGTTATTATTATTATTATTATTATTATTTTCATTAATAATATTAACATTATTATTTTCATTGTTTTCATCATTATTATTATCATTATTATTATTATTATTATTATCATTATTATTATTATTATTATTTTCGTTGTTTTCATTATCATTATCATTGTTATTATTGTCACTAATAATTATATTGTTGTTATTATTATCATTATTATCATTATTATCATTTTCATTATTATTAATAACTATATTGTTGTCGATATTATTATTGTTGCTAACATTATTAATGTTGCTGGTAATGTTTTCGTTGTTGACACTATTAATGTTGCTGGTGATATTTTCATTGCTGACATTATTAATGTTGCTGATAATGCTTTCATTGCTCAATGGTTCCTGCTTAACACTAGCACTACTACTATTGCTGTCCTCATTACTAAAATTGTTGTTATTTGCTGATTCTTGATTATTACTAGTAGTCGCGTCAGTATTACTGGAGTCAGAAGTAGTTCCAGGTGGCATAGGTTCCCAAAATACCTATACACAAAATAGATCAATAAAGAAACGGAGTTAAAACCTGCATAGATACGCTTAAGTAGATTAAAGGGAAAACCAGTTGATGGCCACATGAAATTCACACAGTAAACAACTTTTGGGAAAAAAGTGAAAATCGTGTGACAACCAGAGAGGAAAGAGAAAATAAATCGGTAGTATCATTATGAGCACAGTGAATTACCATATAGCGCTGCCTATAGTACCCCCGGTCTTATTCAACCCCCCAGATACAGAATGACGAGAGCAATATATGAAAATTTGTTACTAATTGGAGGGTTATCTTGCTATTAAACACAATAGATTCATAGAAAAACTTATAAAAATTAGGCCGCAAATTGCTTATCGGCGAAATGGGAAATACTATCTCAGGGGGGGGGGTACTATTTGCAGCGCTGTACGGTACATTTTTTTTCTTTACAAACTTGATACTCTATCAAATGATAAAAATCAAGGAAAGTTTCACTTACCATTTCATGACATGCGCTAATCATACACATATATCTTGGATTGAATTGGACCACTTGTGTCGGTTTAGTGTGTCCCTCTAGCTGTTTGCACGGTCTTAAATCACTCTGTAGCACTGTAGAAGTATTAATGTCCCATATATTTATCAAGCCATCCTGTGAGCCTATACCAAAGATAAAAAGAAATCGAAGTCTTTATTCAGGATAATATTATTTATTAACAAAATCAATAAAACCCCGTACGAAAAGAACTTCTCTTACCAGAAATCACAAAAGCTCCGTTAGGCGTAAAACACGTGTCATCACCACCATACCCATTTATTGTGTCACCCAATCCCACATGACCAACTAACCGGCGTTTCAACTCGCCTGAAAACGCGTCAATCAAATAATGCTGATCCCCACTAGTTGAAATCAGGATATGCTTCTCGTCGTTACTGAATTTAATGCCAGTCCATGTAGGCATTTGAGTACCGGGTCGTGGATAAGAGTATGCAGAGAGGTAAGGATCGATGATAATAAATTGTGTGAATGGTCCCTGATTATGATGATGATACGTGTAAGTATGGATGACAAGAGGTAGTGATAATGTTTATTTATTTGTGAGGGCCTGAATTATTTATTCATGACCTTACTCACTTATTGATTGTGAATAAAAAATATTTTGTGTATAAGCGCATGTATGGACTAAATAACATAGATTAATTCAAATACCTTATCAAAATTTCTTAAATCGTATAATCGAACTTTATTATCCTGTTGTATTGCCGAAGCAAATATCATGCCTGTAGGATCAAACGAAACGGATGGTCTTCCTTTCCCAACGTAAACACGACCCTAAATTAGATGTTTTAATTTTTTGACATTTTAATAAAATAAATCGTTGATTATATGTCATACCTGTGGCGAGGGTGCTTTAAAGTCCCATATTATAATCGAGTCGTCAATTGCCGACGATATAAATGTATCATCCACGGGACTCATTGCCATTGAAACAACTCTGTGTACAAGAGAAAAAAGGGTTAAGACAGTGCATTATGAGAAGATAAATAATATAGACACGCAACGATGTTGATGCCAACCTTCCGTCATGACCTCTAAAATATGAGAGATATTTATTTTCGGTGACTGATAAATACCTAATCATATCTATGATCAAAGTCAGCAAGCAATCAATTCTAATCGGATGCAATATTAATAATACATACTGTCTCTTTTGGTTGAACCGTGTAATATGGTTGTCGGTGAATGTGTAAATCGTATTGGATGTGCTCCATATTTCTTACTGAATAAAAGTTTTTGCGATCTGTAGTCAATTATTTTATTAAAAAGATGGCAGGTGTGAGTACAGTAGAAATTCTTTTATGAATCAAATCAAATGGAATCAAATGAAATAAAATGAAATCAAATGAAATTAAACAAAATCAAACGAAATCAAATGAAGTGAAATGCTATTGCTCTTTAAAGTTTCCTTGCAAACCATTCGATTGATCAAGAAACTAGTCTGTTTAATACAGCAAAAAAGTAAAAGTCGGACTTTACTTGCTTAAGATCAAATGTACAAAGAAATACTCACATTCCCCGAGTACTATCATACAAATTAATAGAATCGTCCGCCGATGCCGTAATACAAAGCTTTCCCTCGTCGTCGAAATCAGCGGAAGTGATTTCTTTACTGTTGTCTTGAAATACCTTGGAAATCTGTAGCTGCTGTATACGTAAAAGATCCAGTGTTACTGTCATTTTTTGTGACGAAGAGACGGCAGAACTTGAGGTGGAGGCCGCGACAGAGGCAGAAGAGGCTGCGGAGGCGGAGGCGCCTGAAGGTGGAAGTACCGAGGAATTTGTCATTTCTGGGGATCTAGATTATAATTGAGCTCTATGTATTCTTGTCTTGTTCTAGAAATTGTTTTAGTCGTTTAATTTAAGCTTGGTTTAAGTCGTTTCGCTTCTTTTGTCGCGTGTAGAAAATGAACCAATATTTGATCGGATATATTTATGTTTGAATGGTGGTGATGATCCGATTTTTCTGTCCGACTTAAAATTTTTTATTCTGAACCAAAGAAAAATGTCGCGTCCCGAGCATTTGGCTCCACCAGAAATTGCAAGTATCAAAAAAATAAAGGATAAGCTTTGTATATAAAGTTTTTGAAAAAAAAATCTGTCTCCAAAATATAAATAAGACTGTTTTTGAAAGAAAAAAATCATATGATCCAAAGATATAATTAACAGCTCCAATATCATATCAATCATCTTTTTTACACGCTCTTAATTTTTAGTATTACAACGATGATCAAGCCAAGCAATACACAACAAAGTAAGTAAAAATAAAAGGAATGCAGTTTCATCTGTCTTCGGTCATACATCAACCAAGTATCCATAAATATTAACTATATAATAAAGTAAACGAATACAGGAAATCCAATCACAAATGGTACTCGATAATAATAACAATTTATGTCCTTCGCACGCATAACAAATCAACACGATCTCTTATTCACATTAACATTATGCACACTAACTAAAAAAAGGCATATCGCGCTCTAGAACTACTGAATCTCCCACCAGACACCACATGCTACATACTCGATATTGGTTGCGGATCGGGACTAAGTGGTGAAATAATTGAGGAGGAAGGTCATGTGTGGGTTGGCATGGATATAGCCCCCTCGATGCTAAGTGAGTGTTATTTACTAGATTAATATCTTTATTTGATGAGCAGTATTATTTTTCATTAATTTGATTTATTTGTCTAATAAGAGTAGAAGTGGCACTAGAATGTGAAGTGGAAGGTGACTTGTTCTTACAGGATGTTGGACAAGGAATGGCTTTTCGGCCCGGTACTTTTGATGGGGCTATTAGGTAATTTAAATTCCATAGATTCGATATCACATTTACACATCCCAAATTTTATTTCTCGATATAAAAAAATTACGACATCCAAACTTTATATACCACAAAAATCATCACACAAGCATCTCAGTCCTCCAATGGCTATGCAACGCCGACCACTCATCACACAACCCAAAATCACGTCTCACACGATTCTTCTCCACACTATACTCGTCACTACGACGTGGTGCACGAGCAATCTTTCAGTTCTACCCAGAGAACGACGCGCAATGTGAATTGATTATGAATGCGGCGATGCGTTGTGGATTCGAGGGAGGTCTGTTGATCGATTATCCAAATAGTAAGAAAGCGAAAAAGTATTACTTGTGTTTGTTTGCAGGGAGTCAGGTGGGGAAAGTGGAAATGCCGAAAGCGTTGGGTGAAGATGGAGAGATGGAAGAAGATGATGGTGAACCGAATCAAGTAGCTTATTCTAATGAGAGGTTTGTATTTTTGATTATTGTTATTATGTTCGTTTTTTCTCAATTTATAATTTATTTTTCATAATAATATAGAATTAAAGATCGTCGAACAAACAGTTCAAAACAACGACGAAAATCCGTCAAAGACAAAGAGTGGGTAACACACAAAAAAGAAGTTGCACGATTACGTGGCAAAAAGAATGTTCCAGCTGATTCAAAGTACACTGCACGGAACAGAAAACCTAGATTCTAATTATTATTTATCACTATTATAATAGTTTTATTATTATTAGGAAGATTATTATTGTGATTTATTCGATAAGCTTACCTCTCAAACTGTAAAGAATAAAGAAATAAAAACTAATAACTAATAAAATCAACAATAGCTAACTAGTTCGTTTAGCCGATTGGTATATTCAAGCCGAATGATGAGTAATTTAAATCACAAGTAAATAAACACCAAGCACTCAAAACTAAAAAAACAAAAAATGCACGCAATGTGAACTTCCAAAAATGAAATACCAAAATACTCACAAATAAGTTCAATAACATCATACATAATTCCTCCAATCCCACATTCATTTGCTTCATCATTGATGCTTCAATTCGACTCATCCGAATTTTCATCTTCAGTATTACTGTGGTTAGTATCTTTAATACTATTAGTATTATTATTATCTTTTTTTTCACTCTTCGAAGATTTAGAGACTTTTTGTTTTTTCTTTTGTTTCTTCTTTTGTCGTTTTGCACGTTTCTTTGCTGTTTTTTCTTCTTCTTGATTTCTTACTGCTTCCATCTTTTCTTCAAATTCTTTTTTTTCTTCTTCCTAAATAAATATACAACTAATTAATCATTGAAGATTTCTAATTTAACAAATGGCTATAATAAAGAAAAAATGTTACGTTTCTGGCCTCTTCGTCAATAATCTTTTGTCGTGTGTATTCGCGGCGTCTGTGTGCTCGATATACATGGAATTCACCGCTTCCAGCGCCAGCACTTGAACCTGGATATAACGAAAAAAGCGAAATGAAAAAGAAATACACGGTAAATTAAAAAAAAAAAATTGATCAGGACAATCAAATTATCGATATACAACGCGTCAATTCTCCTTTTCCTTGTGCTCCAACAAACCAATCTTTAATTCTATCCATTCATTCAATAAATCTTGTACACTAAAATCCTATTTTTCTACCCTCCATGCACTCACTGACCCAAACTACTTACCTTGGACATTACGAACAATATCTTTTGGCGGTTTCAGCTTAGGTTTATCCTGAATCTCGGGAATAGTCACTGGTTTGTCAATACGCGATAACAGACGATCTAGTTGGTGCCTTTGAACATCGACTGGACGAAGTTTGTGCGAGATGATTTTGGAAGAGTCTTTGTCATCCTTGTTATCACGCTCTTTACTACTAGAATCTGAAGACAGGTAGCCAGCTGAGGGATCTTTTTGAAGTGCATCTAAATTTTTTGTTGTCATTTTTAGAAATTAAAAATAGATCATCCCGATATTGCATAGATAATACGTGGCAAAAAAAACGTGAAATTCATTACCCAAAATTTCATTATTGTGGCAAAACCATTCACACAATTCCTGCCGTCTTTCTTGTCTTAGTATTGCAACTTGTCTATTAGCCCAAACTTTTAACATAATGAATGCGTTTATTACTAACGTTTCCGAATCAAACAATACTAAATATAGTAAAATAAGTAGTATTAGAATAATATTACTTGGATGCTTATTACTTTTGCTGATAGTGTCGTTTTTCGGGGTTGTGGAATGCCAGAAACACCAGACTCGCATTAATTATCAAGGGGAACATAGTAATTATGGTGATCATGCTAAGATCAAACAGTAGGTTTTTATGGGTGGCGATTTTTTGAGGCGACAGATATTATTTGCTTGCAATCGCTAGTCGTTATATAAAGAAATGAATAATCCCATCTCACGATTTTTACTCTGTCTTACAAATCATCTTCGTTCTTTTTCTTCTCACTTCATATGCACATAAAGACACATCACAGAGCACCTAAAAGACGTGCAACATCCGCCTGATATGTCAGAAACGGACGAACTCTATTACCTCTTCACTATCCACGATATAAATAAAGACCGCTACTTGGATGGACATGAACTTCGTGAGGCTTTCACCGATTTTAATTTAGACAATGAAGATCCGAAAGCGATCCTGACTATTTCAGAACTTAATGAAATGATTGATCACGTCTTGCTGGAGGATGATATGGATAATGAGTGAGTATTTTTTTTTTAATGTATTTGTCTCCCTCTGGGGTAGGAGAGATACAATAACAATAACAATATAAATATCTTTTTAATATTCATCCACGAAACTTTCACCCTTTACTAACGGTAACTTTCGATTATGTTCGATATAACACCGTTCCGAATACAGCGGCAGAATAAGTTGGCAAGAATACTTGTTGTCACAGACTTATCACAAAAAATAGTAAATCAAATAAATCATCAAAAGAAACATAATATTTATAGCATGCACATGATCGAGTTCATTTTGAATGTTTATACGTCGAAATCACAACTTATACTTTTTAGAGAGAGACTAAATATATGTGATTTTTGTTAACAATCTGAATTCAAGTCGTACACCTGATTCCACAAATACATACACCATTAAAAATATACATTGACTTTAATGCAATGTTTTACTAAGTTATCTAGTCTTAATAAACATGAACATCCCTCAGAGCAATTCAATTAAATCGGAACTAGTTGAGAAGACGTCCCTCCATTCAATTATGATAAGTGAGGGATTAGAGGAGGTTTAAAAAAGTTATTTGGCTTTTCCACCAAGAATTAAGGAATCGGTTGATTTTAAAAATCATAATTTGACTTCTTTTGTTCTAACACTAGAAATCAATAAAACTTGGAGTTTATGATTGAAGCAAAGTACAAAGAACAAATGAAATCAAATCCCGATTCTCCTGAATATCGACCGTGGAGTTTGTACTTGCACTGCAGAATCATATAACCCCAAAATCGTCTTTCCACTTTAAATTTTTTCTGTTACTAAACTTAACTTCTGAAAGTTGGTCTGGTCGAGTGGTGTTTCATGTGAAAGAAAAAAATTTTAAATTATATGAAAAAGACTTTTCAGAATGTGCTTAATGATCCATTTTTTTCAGAAGAGTATTAGTTTTGTAATGAGAAACTGGTTTATAACTGTAGTATACTTTAGATGGCTGATATGTTGAACTACATCAGAAGAATTTTTGTGATACATTCAGGATTCTTAGTTAAACTCTTAGCTCTTTTTATATATAAAATAAAATAATTTTCTTTAAAATTATTTGACTAATACAGATAAAAGATTTATTAAAGTCATAATTTACATGATTTTAAATCTGATCTGAATTGAAATAATTACTAAATATATAATTATAATTATATGTTTTGTAATTTATTTAATAATTAAATAATTAAAATATATATAAATTTAATATAATTTCTTCTTTATTATATCTATTCTATAATTAATTTTGTTTAAAATTATTCTTTTTATTTACAAATATTAATATATTTATAAATAATTATTTTTATTATTATTTATTAGTTAATAATAATTTTTTATTTTCAAATCCTAATTTATTTAATTATATAATTAAATATATTTTAATTACAAGTAATTGAACATGAAATAAATTAATTTATATTTTTATTTTAATTTTCTATCTATTTTTATTTTTTATTGTTGATAGTTAGTTATTTTGTGCACAAATTATCACAGAAAATCTTTAAATTTTTAGTGAACTCCATTAATTATAAATCATCCAGTCTTTGTTCTTTCATTATTATATTACTTTGTTAATTTATTAATTTTAATAATTTTTGAATTAATGAAAACACTAGTTATATAATATAACAAAAAAAGAAGAAAATTAAAAAAAGAAACTAGTTATATAATTATATATATAACTTTATATCAAATATATTACATGATTACTATAACTATTTTTGATTAAATTTCAAAGAATGATAAATTTTACTATAAGAAAATATTAAGTATCAATTATAATTTATTATAATAATTATTATTTTTTTATAATTGAATTTTTTGTATTTATATTCAAGTTTTCTATTTTGTAAATATACAAAATAAAATATATTTATTTCAAGCTAATGAATTAATATAACAAATTTAATTATAAATCTATAATAAAAATAATAAGTTTCTCCAAATTTATTATAATTTGAAAATATTAAAAATACTCATATTTAATTATATTATTATTTTTTTAATTTTATAAGTTTTATATTGTGATATATAATAGCTAATATAATTAATATATTATTATTAAGTTTAATATGTAAATTAAAAAAAGTATAATATTTGCTTAATATTATTATAATTTTTATATATTTTTATAAATAAGTATAATATTGTTTATATTTTTTAATATTATTTTATAAATTAAATAACTTGATTAATTAAATAAATAATTTTATAAACAAGTAAATATTAATAATTTAATTTATTAAATTAATTCAATATAACTTTGCAATTAAAATGAGAAATCATAATAAAACTTGAACTAAAAATAACTAAACAAATATAACTTTACAATTAAAATAAACTAATTCCAATACTAAAATATAATTTAAACAAAACTTAAAATAAAATAATAAAAGAAATTAATATTTTAATTATTTATTAATTTTTAAAGGACTTTATTATCAAAAAAGTTATTTTTGAATTAATAAAGAACTTAATTCTAAGTTTAGAACTTGATTAATTAATTTTAAGCTAAAATACATACTTCTTTTATAGATAATTAATTTACTCTAAAAAAAATCTATGGTTTTTTCACAAGTGGTCTGGATATATATTGCTGACTTTTTAAAAAACTAAGTCATTAAACAATTCCCAATTCTTGAACACTTTTCCAATAAACTTGATGTTCATAATCAAAATCCAAAGTTCCACCATAAGTTATCTCCAACATATCCAGACTGATCCAATCGTTAATTAACGGATCAACGACCGCAATAGGTTTCGAGTCTTGTTGCATGTTTTCCTTGTTTTTCTCTTGTTTTTGTTTCCCAGGCGCACTAACGAAATGTATTTTATTACGCGTCGGCTCATCAAGGAACGGCCATACTATTTTTAAGAAAATGCGTAGACTGACTGGTGCATTTACCAAATACGCACGTGCTAATCGTTCTGGGTAGTGTGTTGTTAAGATTCGTATGGTCTCGAGGGCAATAGGGATCGGTGTTGATTGTGCTTGATTGTATAGTGTAAAGTCCATTATAATGACTATTTGATGAATGTGTTCTGGCATTATTTTGATTGCTGTTTCGAGCTTTTTTTGAGAGCATATATAATAATTAGAAAAAACCAACGTGAATAAAATGTTACAAAACGCTATATATAAATCATGTAAATTAATAATTAAATACCATAAAAACCAACAACTTTATTCCCGCCTTATGATTCAAAACCTCCTTCTTATCGGCCTTCTTCTTCAAATAAATAATCGGCCTTCCCTCCTTATCAAACCCATTAACATAATTGGTTTTTCGTTCAGCCTGACTCCTGATATCCGCGTCTTCAAACGATATTAAATGTGGTCGAAAAGTATGAACACGCCACACCACACTCTCCAGCCATTGTTTCTGTGCGTTCGCCAGGTCCCATTTGTTTCCTTGTAAGTAACAGTAGAGCGCGGTATCACTCATTAGGAACTCTAGCGCTACTGCGTGTTCGGACGCGGAAGTGTTTTTGGTAGATAGAAGTTCGGGAAGAGAGTCTTTGAACTTAGTGAGGGTTTGTCGTTGATGGTCTTGTAGCGTTGAGACTATTCCGACTCCTGTTGATGAAGACGAAGACGAAGACGGCGACGCTTTTTTTGTGTATTGGAGTGTTGGTGATTGTGTCGCGGGCATTATTTATTATTTAGCCGTTAACGTTAATATCGATATTGATATAATTTTAGTTGCATTTTAAAACATTCATTTTTTATTCCGGGTTGATCAAAAATTTACGCATTCTTATTGGCTTGTTTCTTGGACAGATCACCGGATCCACCAAGCTTTATATCTGGAAGTTGATATACATTATTAGCCAATAAAAACAAAGATTGGTGATATTTATAGACGCGCCAGAAGTATCCCCTCGGGAACGATAAATATTAAGAATCATTATAATCTGAATTAATTTAGGATTTAATATTAATTTTTTTATAGAAACTTTCAAACAATATGGTACCAAAACTTTCACAAAAAATTATCGACAGATGTATGAAGTTAGTGGACGAATTTCAACCAATTTCGCGATCGTTATGCAAATTATGATGAGTTTTCAGCGGAGGAGGAGGCAAGTCTTTATTTTTAATCACGATGATTTGATTGCGATGCACATCTAATCGAAATCAAATTTATAGGAAACATCATCTGTATCAACACCACCTTCATCAACCCTACTTGCATCAACGCCATCTACATCAACACCAGCGCTCATTACATCATTGCTCTTTTTCTCCCAACGATTAAAAATAAATCTGAATTGGATATTGAGTTAAATGAACATTCTAATACAGTAACAATTTCGGGTAACTATAATGATATTAATGTGCGGGGTAATTTAGTTAAAGGTAATCTTCCGAAAATTTGAAACACAAATCCAATTTGACGAGTTATTGAAAAATAATGATGTGGATGTTATAATTGGCAATGGTGTTGTGATTGTAAATTTAGAAAAATCTGATCAAGCTAGACTTAAAAAATGAAGGTTGAATCTCAAATAATTTTTTTTATTATCGATAAGTTGAGTCGAATTGTATGTCGATTAGCTAGCTTACTATGAAATCCAATAATATACACATTTATCGTTAAACACTGAATATTTATTTTGAGTATCACAAATATCACAGTTTTAAAGGTTGATTTATTAGCGTTAGGGTTAAGGTTAGAGTGGAGGGCTAGAGTATATATGTAAAACGGCCTCCCCGACGTTTTTAATTGGTGCTCCAAGATAGATTAAATGCGGTGGGCATATCCATCAAATCAAATTTTATCCCATTAATATTGAAATATAAAATAATGTATTTGATCTATTTATTATTAATAAGATTTTTCTATAATAAATGATTTGATATCGATACAACTAAATGACCATTTCTTTCTCTTCCTCTTCAAAGCCTTTCAGTGATCAAACTTTCGAATCGATTGAAATGAGGTATGGGCAAATTTACATAATGAAGATGATTGTAAAAATGATCGGCCATATTGTAGATTGCCTCCTTTAATACTATTAGATTGACGATGATTAATTATTTCGCAAGCTGAGGAAAAGAAAGCCAAGTGAAAAAATCAATTTGCATAGCAATACACTTGCCATTCGTGATTCCGACTACATCAGCCAATACCCGTGAGTGAGCTTTTGAAGGTGTGCGTGAATCCCATTCATACAATGGGGGCTTTTTCGCGTATTCTTCAAGCGCAATTAGACAATCAAGCATACATTCAAATACCTTTGAAATGTCTGGTGATACAACTCCGTATTGATCCAGCGTTAATGAATCTATAGTCAGTGAGGCCAATGCTAAACGAATAAATTAAAAATCAATAAAAAAGGTATAAAACAGAATTGCGTGATTATTTGATATTACTTACCTTCGACTGCAAGTACAATAGTATTTTTATCCTTCAACAAATTCATGCTACGCCTTTCGATAGTTCTGTTTAACAGTGGAAATACAAAATAATGATATCCGAAACCTCGCATCCTTAATCGTTCAAACCATACTAAATCCCAGTACTCCGAATGGCGAGGAATGTAAGATCCCGCTGATGTGTTAATATCTTTTAATGGAATCAATTTTGCTTTTTGTCCTCCTGTTGCTTTTCCTCTTCCACCATTCTTTTGCTCACGATTAATCTCGGCACGCCATCGTCTGATCTGTTCGTTCTTTTTATATTGCGTTTGTATTTGGGTGTTTGCCGCGTATCCTAGACCAAGAATCAGTTCGATACAGACGCGTGATATGTTTGTCCATGTGTTTTTATCGAATTCCTGGTAGATTGTTGTGCGCCGTGTTAGGTGTTTTGAGTCTTTTGCAATGTGCCATAATTCTAGGAATGCAAGACTCTATTTATTAAATAAAGCAATACGTAAGAAATTAAATTCATTATTATTATATTAGTACAAGAAAAGTTTTAATTGTTGTAGATGATTCAAAGCACCTGAATGTATGGTTCATCTTTAGCGTTTAATCCGTTTACAAGAACTTCATTGGAAATACTCGATATGATTTTCTATAGTAAAAAAAATCATTAAAATAAAAAGGTATATTAATGGATTTATGTACATATACATATATGTTTATAACCAATATTCTAAATTTTAATCATGCGCTACAAGTCCTACGACACAATTCATATTCACGTTTTACACTCAATCACCACACACACATCGCACCTTTTTTGTGTGGAAACCATCGACCAATTTTTCATTCCAAAGAAGCATACCCGAGTAAAGTAGTTCTCGAATAGCCAATGCGCCAAAGTCCAACACGTAAGTATAAAAACCAAGCAAGAGACTGTTCGATTGATAAGTTGTATACTGAATGCAGGAATAGCCAACCAATCATATGTAGTGACTCTAAAAAAATAGAATAATTTTTTGAAAGATCAAAAAATAAAAATATCTCAAGTAAAAAATCGTGTTGAATATTATACATACCTGAGAGGTCGTGCAATCAATAATATTAGATAATAAAATGACTTCCACATCAGGAAATGATAGCTCCAATAAAAAAATGTAAAGGTCGCCACGACAATCAAAAGATCTGCGGGTAAAGAATAATTTTTCACAGTGAATGAACGGAGTCTTTGTAAATGCTCGTATCGTTCCTGCCAGAGCGTCTCAAGTAGTGATCTCCAGCCGAGTTCAAATCGAATTTGGAGAATAGGAATCTTTTGTGCGACATGAAAAGATTAGTAACAAGGATAATAATGAAACTTATAAAACTTTTGAAGGTTACCTGAACTGAAGGAAAATTCAGAAGGAAGCGTTTTCTAATCAGGTAATCTAGCGCGTACCATACCCCAAATCCAACAGTATTCGCCGCTAGAATCATTGTATACTCATTCAACGCGTCATTTTTACATGATTCTCTGCGAAATGGATGACACCTGAAACTGCATATAATAAAACAGTAAAAAGTCAATTGTCTCTGTCATTCATTTGAATTCGCGAAAAAACAATAATAAAATAAAAAAGTATCTTTATTTTTTATGAAAAAAAAACAATTACTAGACTTACTCAACCTCAGGTTGCAAGAAAAGTTTCAATGATCGGTTAAAAGACTCTGGCAACAAATACTTGTAATAGCACCGCCCAATCACCATGGCCGTGATTACATAAGTCATGATGGTCGCGTAAGTACGCGTAGAACTAAGATGAATTCGTATATCACTCCATAGATTTTCTTCTGTTTCTAATTTAACTTAAAAAATAACATTCGACAAATAATGTAGAAAATATTAACTTTGAAAATACTAATCAAATAGGCGAGCAAGAGAATACTCATTCACGTACCGGAAGAATTTCGATACCATTTTCTCAATAACAGAGTAGGCAGCACTCCAAGCAAATAAATCCATAGAAAAGAATATATAGTGTTAATTGAGTACAGTGGCTGAATATAACTCGAATCACACGCGTTTTCTTCTGTAAAATGAGCTTTTTAAAAGTAAAAAATGATAATTTACAGAAAATAAGTCAATGAAATGCACAATGTTATAAAAATGAATAATTTAAAGGATGTTACCCCAACATCCCAGTACTCTCACACTTAATTGGAAACCGAATATGAGAAAATACACCAAACCACCCAACACCAAGAAACAATTCAGTTGGCGTCCTGACAAGTCTTTACGTATTGCATAAGTGTATCTTCGCCCATGGGTATCCGCTGGTTTCTGTTTCACTTGTACTTGTGGTTCTTGCTTTGTGTGCTCAATACCGCCATTAACTGAACTACTCATGTTGCCAAATAAATACAAAGACGAAGACGAAATAAACCAGGCATTAAAATTTCAGGGGTAAAGATTTTTAACTGATCTATATTTTGAAAAACCCCTAAATCTTATTGGGTGACAACCACAAAAGCCAGTATTATTAATAAATCCTAAATTTATTAAAATTTTTATGTATATACAGTGGGAAACAGCAAGTCACATCATCCACTCAAGTACGTATATGGGTGGCAAATTTTGATATGCTTATATTATTTAACATTAAATATTAATACAAATTAATATTCTAAATTGTTAAACAAAAAAAAAAGAAATAAGTATAAAAAAATTATTGAACAAAAAAAGATAATTTGACTTTTGAAAAATTAGCTTAGTTAACCAACAAAATTATCAATTAGTTATTATTATAATCAATTTTTATTGATTAATTAGCCCAATAATATAAACTTTTAAGATAATAAATTTTAATGAAATAATATAAATTTGAGAATTTTTAAAAGATTATAATTTATAATTCAAATAAAATTAATTTTCTTATTGGTTAAATTGTAACCAAATCAAATAGCTATTATTTGATTAAGTTATTTTTTTTGTATAATTTTTTCTTATTAAACTATAAAACTTGATATGAAAAAAATAAAATAAATAAGACTTGCTATATTTATTTACTTAAAATTAAAAATCATTAATCTAATTGATTTATAACAAGCTAAAATTATATAATATATAATAATTTTCTGAATTAATTTGATCTATATTGCTATTTCAAATATTATTAAATTAGTTTAATTAATTTATGATAAGGTAAAATTAATTTATATTATTATTTCAAATAATAATTCTAGTTAAATAGACAAGCTCACCAAAATTATTAAATTAGTTTAATTAATTTATGATAAGATAAAATTAATTTATATTATTATTTCAAATAATAATTCTAGTTAAATAGACAAGCTCACCAAAAGTATAATTTTAAAATTGCAAAAAATATATAATAGTTGAATTAAAACTAACAAAAATATATAATTATATATTTAATTATAATAGAAAAAACAAGTTTTTAAATAAAATTTGTACTGCTACGGTTACTTTAAATGAAGGGTTTCTTCACTATTAGTAAAAGAGTCATATGAGTTGGGAGAGAGGAATAGAC